TATATATATATATAGAAATGAGATCTCTTTTCCTGGCAGCGGCGCCACACATGTACTGCCCAGCAGAGATCAGGATGTTGCTGGGCGTGGTGGTATGTGCCTGTGATCCCAGCACGGGAAGCTGAGGCAGGAGGCCTGCCACACCTTTGAGGCCACCCTGGGCTACATAGTGGATTCAAGGCCAGCCTGAATTCGGAGAGCGACCTTGTCTCAAAACAAACAGAAAAAAGCAGTACAGAGGCCTTCACCTGCTCCTGCCGCCAGCAGGAGTGTTGCAGGAAGAGTGATGTAAACACATGGACCCCCTGCTGAATTGGAGACTGAATTTGAATTAGGTCTGGCCCTGAGGGGCTTGGTGAGTTTAAAATCTTGACAGCCTTGCTGGGGTTTGTCCTACAGGGGCAACCAGCTGTCTTACAGCCAGCCTTGCCTTGGGTCACTGGGGTGGTCAGAATCCTCCATTCTCCCAGGGATGGCCTCAGGTTGCTGTTCACGGCTGTGCGGGTTTAGAACCAAGTATCTAGAAAGCAAAGGAGGAAGGGAACGTTTCTCAGGGATCCGAGCTAAAGGGGCTGCCCTCTAGCTGCCAGGAACGCCAGCCAGCCAGATGTCCTCTCTCCCAGATGAAGCCAGGGATAGCACAGGAAACCCAGACAGCAGTGACACTGGGCCACAGCAATGTCAGACCTGCATCCCCACCGCTTGACTCTGGCCCTTATCTTGGCAGGTAATTTGAAGACATCTCTGTTGCCTGTCTAGGACTATTCACCCTCTCAGAAAACTACTCCATATGGCTGAGAAAGTCCAGGCTGTGGTTAAAAGGGCAACACTGGAAGAGATAAGATGGCAGCTCACAAGAACCAGGCTTGTGAGAGGGAGCATGTCTGCAGGCAGTGCTGTGTGCAGCTGACTCAGGGACAGGCAGACAGGCACCACGAAGTGACCAGAGTTATCACAGGTAATCCTTTGTCCCAGCCTGATACACTTAACAATCACCAGTCTTTTCTGGAAATTTCTTCTCACCAGAGCTCAGATGGAAGAGACAGGCAGTACGATCAAACTGATGCATGTTACACTGGTCACTCCTGGTGTCACCCCAGACTAATGACAAACTGAATTTGAACCTTTGTCCCTCCCTTGGCTCCTTCAGCACCCTGCCCCCCAAGGGTGTCCACATCAGCCAAGAAGCTCCCAACCCCAACAGTACACACTATCAAGAGCCCAGCTGAGTTTCTTGGGGCTTTTCGTTATTTGAGACATTTCTGGGGCTTTTCAGGAAGTGATGAATGACTCCTTTCTTCATGTGGGACTGCCACCAAGGGCACACAGGACCGGGTGCAGTGGAGTCTTTCTGAGACCAGCTGACTGGCAGTAACCAGGTTAGTTATAATCACAGGGTAAGCAGTGGGTACAAGGGACTTGGAGGGGTGGACTGGGAGGGCACGGGAGAACCTTGAAGTCCTGCTTGGGTTTGCCAGGAACACCTCATAGTCTCTGCTTATGGCTTATAAGCAAGCAAGGTTTTCGGGTGACAGTGGAGGGGCATGAGCCACACACAGCCTGTGGAGAACCTGCCCGCACACACCCTCCCTTAAGGACCCCACAGAGGAAAGCTACTGAGAGCGTAGGCAGGAGGGCTGCAGCTCTGAGAGACGGCCCAGCTCTGGGCCTGCCAGCCATCCTGAGAAGTCCACCCTTCCCCACCCACACCGGCCGAGAACAGCCGACGCCCTCAAGTCAAGCTGAAATTGCTGGTGAATGTAGGAGATCGGAAGGAAAACATCTACTTTATTTTCTACTCTGTTGATTTTTGTTTTCATATGTTCCATTTTTCTCTGGCTTTTACTATGTCTCTTCTAGCTTCTTGACACAGAAGCTCAATTTACTGCGCATATATATATATATATTTAGCTGCATCCAACAAGTTTGATGTCAATTTTTGTATCTTCTTGTCCTTAATATCTGTTCTATTTCTTCCTTAATTGAATGTTAAAACATTCAATCCAGTTCTTGGATTTCCATTTAAACTATAAAGTTCCTCTTACTTTGTCTGCAGAACTATGTGGCTACAGGCTGAAGATTTGAAAAATAAAGATCCTGGGAAATTTAGAGCTCTTAAATGCAAAAGAAGACAGTCAAAAGGAATACAATACTTTAATGACTTCTGGGTTTGATGTATTGCAGTTGAATAAAAACTGCAACATGATTTCTCTTTTGGGGGGAGAGATAGTGGAGGTTGAACCCAAGACTAAATTGCCCCACTAGGCTCAAACTTATGATCCTCTTGCCCCAGCCCAGAGTGCTGAGATTCTAGGAATGAGACCACACCCAGCTGTAAACAGGATTTATTAAAATGAAACCAATCAACTTGTAAGCCAAAGCTTCCACTGCCTGTAGAACATGTCTTAATTTGTATTTGTAGTTTGCAAAGCTGACAGCTGAACCCACGGCCCTGCACATGCCAGGCAAGTGCTCTGCCACTGAGTCACACCTCAGCCCAAAAGCCTCACTTTTCAAAACATGTTTCAAAGGTAACAGAAAAACTACCAACATTGCACTTAATCAGGAGCTCCACAGTGGGAACCATCTAGAAGTTCCTGCAGACTTATTAAACTTATTTCACACCATTGTGGTCACTTTTACAGCTGTTTGGACTTACTCTCAATCACATTACTGTTCACAGAATTCACAGAATTCATTAACAAATTAGTATGTTACATCCAAGGGGTTTCGGGAACACAGCAAAATAGAAAAGAGGCCCAAGCTGCTTGAGTGTGGAACTTGATTCTGATTAGAAATCTAAAACATTATTGCTTTATTAGTCCTATTTTAAAATATAATAAATGATCCCAGGAAACCCACCCCGTCCTGTGCTCCCGTTCAGCATCTAGGTTCCCTCACAGCACGCTGACCCATGGGTGCCGGGCCACCCACTGGACGGAGCGTCCTGCTGTCCAGACAGCGCAGGGCAGGCCACACCACAGCAGCGTGCCGCACACACGCCATTCCCTTAAGTGGGAAAGGTGGAAACGTCTCCCCAGCTTGCAGTCTTCCTCCTCCATCTATGGCTGACGGGCTGCATTCACATACGGGCCTCTGTGCACAACTTAAACTAGACATAAGCGAGGGGTGCGGTGAACGAGGACTACACTCCTACGGAGGAGCCACTGGCCGTGCACGGGAAGACGCCTGAAGCAACAAAAACACCTCCCACCTCAGAGTCCAGGGAATGTCTTACAGAAATGTCCTGGGTGATCACGGCTCAGCGTGGCCACTTCGCACAAGCCTGTCAGCAACATGAACTTGAGGACTTCTCCAGAGATTTCAGGGCTGGGTTTTCTTATTTTGTTCCATGTGAGTTTCCATTTTGAGAAAAGGATCTTGGAGATTTTCTGGGAATGCTGAAGCTCTATGGAATCAAAGAGAATGGGAACAGGGGCCTGGGTTCCTCAGGGACGCTGGCACACCGATGCATTTGGGGCAGGATCCCTGAGAGTGGTTGGTGGCCGCATCAGGTCTTGGGGACAGGAGTGGACGCTATGTGCAGAACGCAAGCTGCTGTCTGGGCTTCAGTCCAGCTTCTTGTTGCCTGTGCTGTGCACAGATGCTAAAAAGTCAGTGATGAGCTTGGCTGTCTTCCTGGGTCTCTCCATGACCACCGAGTGCCCACAGTTTTCCAGAAGTTCCACCTGGCAGTGGTCGATTGACTTGGCCAGTATGTCTGCCCCAGACACATCGAGCACCTGCCAGAACAGAGAGGGAATGAGCCAGCACACAGAGGTTGGGGGATCTCGCTGTACTCTGAGTGGAGTGTCCATCCAGGCCCCACAGAGCTGAGGCAGCTGGGGTGAATTTAGGGACTAAGCCACACTGCTGTGGGGGTTTGTGACTGTCTGGTGGGAGTGTCCAGCACGCTCCTGTTTCCTTCTGCAACTGACACTGCTGCCAGCAATGACAAGATGGAAAGTACAGTACACAGTCCCCAGCTGCAGGGCAGGTACAGTGTGGTGCATAGTGGACAGGGGACAAAACCAACATACCACACTGTCAGGGACACTGCTGAGGGAGGATCCTGGGCATAAGAAAGCACAGGAGAGGGGCGTGGATGGAGAAGACACCCTTCACGAGTGCCAGGAGAGCCCCGAGGGCAGCATGATAGGAACCAGAGAGTTTGGTAGGCAGAAGACCACGAAATCAAGGGCCACCGAAGCCCCTGCTTTCGGGCCTCCATGCAGGCATCGAGCCGATCGCATGTGTAGCAGGCCCACAGAATCAGGCTCTTTCCCTGAAGCAGAGCAGACTTCAGTGCCCAGGAAGAAATCCTGGACACGGGGTGGAGGCCAGCTGTCGGAGGCAGGGGGCATGTCAGGTGGAACATCTGCTCTGTGACAACCAGAGAAGGATCACTTTCATAGCTGTTAGCTCACTGGAGCCCCACTACTACTCAGGTAATCGTGGGGTACCTGTAGGGGCTGGGCGCTTGCTGTCCGGGCACAGCTGCTAAAGGGCTGAGGCAAGGTTACAGTGCAGATTTCCTGACTGCAAGGCCAGGCCAGCGCCCCTGCTTCTGCACCGTCTCCACAGGACCGTGGGTGACGGCCTCTCCTGGCTGGTCCCCAAAAGCCCCAAATCACCTTTGAGATCTCTGTGTTGAAGAAAGGCCTTTATTGTTCTGGCTCTTGTCTCTGGTCAAGTGACTCCCCGCTGGGGAGCCTGGGCCTGCTTCTGTGGCCAAGGCACACAGAGTCTCTTTCAGTCATTTGACTATTGGCGAAGGGACACATGCAGCCCTCCTCTTCTTGTCCCCAATCCTGGACTCTGCCATGCTGGCTGACCTGAGACAACATTTCCCTCGCTCCCCACACATGTGGTGACCACGTGGCTGGCTTCTCCTTCAGTCTCTCTGGCGCAGGCCATCTGTGACCAGAGCCTGAATGAACTCCTGTCTTTATTTCCATCATCCCTGAGAGGCTTTCACTTGGGGTCCCCAAAAGCTCGCGTTTTGGAAACTCTATGCCCCCACCATTGTGAATGGATTAACAAATGTCAGCTCTGTCCTCCTGACCATATTGATGTCACTATCACAGCAGTGGGTGCTTTTGAGAAACTGGCTTTGTTATAGTGAGCTCTGCCTGGCACACTCGCCCTGGGTGCGCAGGTGATGCCCGCCAGGCACTGCGAGGTAGTACTGAGGCCCTCCCCAGATGCCTGGCAATGCTGTTCTCCTCCTGTTAGATTTTCCAGTCTCTAAAACTGCGAGCCAAATAAAGTTCTGGGATTCATACATTACCAAGCCCCAGGCATTTTGTAGTAGCAACAGAAACCAACCAAGACGGGGAAAAGCTCCTTCTACTGCCTTCTCCTCACAATGTTCAGTAGCACAGGACTCCAGCTGCGGCTGCATCTGTCCAGGGAGTCTTAGAAAGGCTCCGTTCATCACTGCCTCCTCTTACTTCAAACTTTATGAAGAGCTGTCAGTAGGATGTTATTTCTAAGAAGCCATTACAAGCAGAAAAGGAGCTTATGGAAGTATAAATCAGTATTTCTTTGGAGGGACTCTTTGGCTTGAATTATGGACACCACAAGTCTATAGATTGAAACCCTTCGTTCTGATACCTCAGAAGGGACTGTTTGGTTACTTTTTTTTTTTTTCTTGCGGAACCAAGGATTGAACTCAGGCCCTTGCGCTTGCCAGGGAAGCACTTATTCTACTGAGCCATCTCCCAGCCCCCAGAAGTCACTGTTTGGAAACAGGGACACTGCTGAGGTAATTAGTTGAGATGAAGGCACATTGGAATAGGATGGGTCCTACAATGTGGCTGATGCTAATAAAAATAATAACAGCTAATATTTATCATGTGCTTCTTTGGGCCAGCAATGGACAAAAGAGTTTACATGTGCTGTATCTCACTGAGCCCTCAGAGTCCTGAGGAAGCTACTGCTATAATCACGCCCATTACACAGAAGTAGGGGGAGGCAAGGCAAGGGTATGTTATTTTGTGCCAAGTGACACAATTGTAAGTGGTGGAACAGGCTGATTCTGGCTGGCACTCTCCATGCTGCAGCGTATTTAACCACTACGGAGGTTGAGGCAGGAGGGTTGCTCTGAGCTTGAGGCCGTCCTGGGCTACACAGTGAGTGGAAAAGAACTATGCTTGTCAGTCACGTGAGGACGGGACCAGATGTGCTGCTTCGGCTGGGGCTGGGTGGCGAGCAGGGCCCTTCCCCTCATTCCATTTCTCAAAACCCGCTGCTGCTGAATCTTCAGCCCTTGCCCTCAGCTACAGTTTCCAGTCCTGTGCTTGTTCCACGTGGTGGAACAAGGGAAGGCAATCACCACAGACCCTAAACATTTGGGCAGAGAGGCAAGCAGAGAAAGCGCCCCGTGGAGAAGAGCAGCAGTAGGAACCTGGCAGCAAGGCCCAGAGCCCAGGCGCGAGGATGGAGGACAACCCGCCCTCCTGCCTCCGAGAGAACCACCAACTGCACGGACACCCTGACCTAGACTTCCAGCCTCTAGAACCAGGAGAACTACATTTTTCTTGTTTAAACCACCCTGCTATGGTGGTTATAGAGGCCCCACCAGAGTGATATGGGGCTATCTGATGAGACTTATTAAAACCCTAAACATACTTTTTTTTTTTTTTTTTTTTTTTTTTTTTATTTGTGTGTGTGTGTGTGTGTGTGTGTGTGTGTGGCCAACTCAGCCCACCAGGGGGCGGGGCTGGCTGGCATGTGGTGCTGGGGGATTGAACTGCGGTCCCTGTACTTTGCTAAGCTTGTTCTAAGTAGGTGCTTTAGACCACTGAGCCATCTCACCAGCCCTAAACATACCTTTTTGACCAGGGAATTTCACATCTAGAATTTTTTTTTTTTTTTGCCGAACCGGGGACTGAACTCAGGCCCTTGCACTTGCCAGGGAAGTGCTTATTCTACTGAGCCATCTCTCTGGCCCCACATCTAGAATTTTTTAAAGAAGGATTTTTTTTTTTGGCTGGCTCAGGCTACCTTAAGGATGGGTCTGGTCAGGTAGGCGCAGCTGGGGATCAAACTTGGGTCCCTTGCACCTGACTGGGTTTGCCAGAACAGGTGCTTAAATGGCTGAGCTAACCTGCAAGCCCCCCTAGAATTTTTTTTTTTTTAAATGTATTTGGTTGTTGCAAGCTCTCACTATGCAGCTTGGACTCGTGGTGATCCTCCTGCTATCAGCCTCCCCATCGGTGGGGTTATAGGCATACACCACTATGCTTGGACTCTGTGACCGGTTGGTTCAGCTGCCCTGGGGGCAGGGCTGGTGCAGCCTGTGGTGCTGGGGATCAAACCTTGGTCCCTGGCCGGCCCAGAATTGAACAGCTCTAACAGCATGGACTGCAAAGCCACAAATAGCTACTATCCAGCCCTTCACAGAGCATGTGCCAACCTCAGGTTTGAGGAAGATATGTAAGGTAATAAAAGTCTCAAGGATCTGGGATGTGGAAGAGAACATTTTCATGATAAACCTTTTGGTAATCTTAAGGTTTTTTGAGTACATGGCTTTGACATTTTTTTTTTTTGAGCCAGGATCTTCCCGTGGCTTTCCACACTGGTCCTGAACTCCTAAGTCAGTGCCACAAACCTCTTAGAGCTTTTAATGCTACAAACAGCCCACTGCAGCGCCGCACCACAGGCTGGAACCCCATATGGATTCCTGAACTACAGATACACGCCTCTGCACTCAGCAGATAAAATAAAAAAGGAGTAGAAACCAATTTAAATTACCTTTCATGTTACAAGTCAAATGTCACTGTTCTCGGCCCATAGGACTTTGCCCCTGTGAACACTGCAGGCCGGCACACCGCTTCCTCTTCCCGGCAACAGGAACCGCCCATGAGGCTCACTTATAAGGGGCCGCCTGCTCTTCTCACGGGCTTCTGCGGGGCACTGTGACCTACCTGGTCCTGCTTCCCCCAGATGATCAGTGTGGGGACCTTAATCTTGTCCATGTTCTGGTGCAGACAGTATCTGGACTTCTCGTTGATGATTTCCAAAAACACTTGCAGAAAAGGAAAACACAGTGAGTGTGTGCGGGCCTGCCTGTGCCCTGGGCACCGGGGCTGCGTGCCGGCATAGTCACCGCCAGGCACCCACAGGGCCTTTGCGGGCCCAGAAGACATCAAGGTTTTAGAGGCTTCAGAAAGGACAGAAGCTGCCATAAAGCTTCATTTGTACCAAGTTCCAACCAGAAAGAGTGCCACTTACGCTTCCGGTAGAAGTTGTTATGAGGAATACGGACGTCGACAAGGCCTTGCAGGATCTGAGGACAAAGAACCCAAAGTCAGAGAGTAAGAGAAGGCTCATTGTCCCAGGGCCCTGCTAGCTCTAGGACAACAAAAGGCAAGAAAATCTAGCCACTTGCTGTACTTGTCAAGGCCTGTCCTATCAATTTTCAAGAGGTCTTAACCAATGTAATTGGGAGACAGGCTTCTAAAAAGCTTTTTTTTTTTTTTTTAAATTAGGGAAGGAACTTAGGTAGGGGATAGGTGAAACCAGCGGACTCCTGCAGCACAGAATCAGACACCTGAGGTAGTTTCACAACCACTTTCCCTTGAGAAATTCTCTACTTAGCTTTGAACACAATAAAGATAAACATAACATCAAGGAATTATTCACTGATACCCAAATGTCGAACAAAGTATGTTTTGAAAATAAAACAGCTGGGGATGACTGGGGTTTATTATAAATGAAGAAAACACAACTGAGAAAGTTCTGGGCAAAGTCCCATAGTGCTTTATTTTGGTTTGTTTTTTTGAGACAGGGCAGCCCAGGTGGGCTTCAAATTCTGTCCTGCTGCGGTCTCCCCAGGGCCGGGATCACTGGTGTGCACCACCTCCACCTCCCCCAGCTTCCACAGCACTTTCTGGTGTGATCCCATCTTTGCTTTTCTGGCCAAGGGCTGGTGAGGCATCAGCCAGCACCTAGGCTACTGACCCAGCGGTGCATTTAAATGCTGCTCCTGCCTCGGAACTCTTAGGTAGAGAACAGGAATCACCTGAGCGGCTGTCGATTGCTGCACCCACCGGGGAATAGCTCTAAGCCCTCCAGTGCCCTGTTAGAAGCCCCAGGCACTGGCTGAAGCGGGGAAGCCTCGGCCATGCTGCTTGGCTACCACGACCCTCTGGAACATGACTAGAGCAGGCCTGGCTTCGCGAGGAGGAAGCATAAAGTGGGACCAACAACACGTGCTGAGCAATGCTGTGTGCTGCGTTGGTGCTGCACCCACAAATCTTTCACGTTGCACCCATCCATCCTGCACCCCTGCTGAGTGACTGACAGATACACCCATCCACCCTGCTTCCGACTCCCACGTGCACGTGTGTATTTGCCCTGTACTCTCCAGCCCATCCATCCTGCACCCTGTGCTACCCAAGCATTCTCCCCACCACACGGCCACCCACTCAACCACCCATCCTCTCCTACCCCCCACATCAGCTGTGCATGCACATGCACCAGCTCAGGCCTCCACATATCCGGTATCTACCCCCTGTCCATTCTCCACCATGAATCACCAAGGCATTCTACCACCCGCCCACTCTAGACCTGGGACTTCGCCAGCAATCACCACGAAAGTCAGGGGACAGAACAGCCAATTAAGGCGAGGCCCCAGATCTTACAGAGCTGAGCGTAGAAGCCAGGTCAGAAACCACAACCACCATACCAGACAGCCCTGAGTACTGGGTGCTCCTGGTCTCCTAGGAAGGAAAGGCTTTTGGAGCTCCCATTTATTTTCTCTAGGTGCTTTCCTATCCCTCAGTACTCAAAATCTGAGTCTTATACAACATGGGGCGCACAATTCTGGAAGTGATCAGGATTTCAGAGATGAACAGACTACAGAATCAGACTATGACTGCTGGGCTGGGGAGAAAGCTCAGTGGCATAATCGCCTGCCTGCAAGTGCAAGGTCCTCAGTTTGATCCCCACTCCCCCACCACCAAAAAAAAAGTCCAGACCATGACTGCTTCCTCAGGACAAGCCGTGCCTAGGGTCTGAATCACATTCATCGTGCCTGAACACAACTCCTCCTAGCCCCAGGAAGACACCCCCCATGAAGAGGCAAGGTCTATGCCCACAACAGAAGGAACAATTTGGTGCCGTGAGACCTTGGCTGCAGACTTCACTTTCTTGGTCCTGTCTTAGTCCATTTCCTCATCCCCGGGACATCATACCTGACACCCACAACCTAAAGGAAGAAAGGTGTACTTCGGCTCGCAGTTACCGCCCATGGTTGGTCAGCTCCAAGATGAAGAGCACAGCCAGGGGAGAGCTATTGGTGTCACGGTGGCCAGCAGCAGAGAATAAAAGGAGGAGCCAGGGACATACACCCTTCCAGGGCACGTGCACAATGACCCGCCTGTTGTCTACCACCGTGTTCTTCTAACATGCATCACTTTCCCGAGGCCCCAGCTACGAGCACATGTGGCCTTTGGGACACTCTTCATCTAAACCATGCCAGTCCTCCATGGCATTCCCTACCTGAGCTCACACAGTCTGGCTTCCTCCACCAGCAGCTCTGCCTTCCCAGCTTCAGGCCAGACTTCCTTCGATACCGCTTTTGTAAGTGCCAACCTGCTTAACGCCCTCACTTAACAGATCCAAAATGAAGCGCTTACGCATCCTCCAGCCTGCCCCCTCTCCTTCCCTCCTCAGAGAATGCTACCTTACCTACATGGTTGCTCAAGAATTGCAGGGCACCTGTGCTCCTGGGGCCCCTGCTGCCAACCTCCCCGGAAGTCCTGTCCCTCCATCCTCCGGGCGCATCTTGGTTCGCTCAGCCCCACCGCTACCACAGCAGTCCGCACCCTGGTCTCCAGGTCCCAACAACCCCTGGATGATTTCGGTTTCCATGTATGCTCCCCCACAATCCTGCAGAGAGCCCGTATTGTCCTTAGAAAAACACTGGGCTCCTCCCCTACAGGGCCCTAGAGGACGAGTCCAGCAGTTCTCAGATGGGCCCCCGGAGTGTGAGGTCACACTATGTTCCTTATCACACTCAGTGTCACTTTCCTGTTCACTTAGCATCTCTCAAAAGCTTACCGTCGTTCAGGGCCTACATCACATGGGGACTGCCAGCTCTTTATGGGCTGACAGAAACAGGGTCTACGCAAATATCAAGAAATATAGGGGCTGGAGAGATGGCTCAGTGGTCTAAGGCACCTACTTGGAACAAGCTTGGCAAAGCATCAGGGACCGCGGTTCAGTCCCCCAGCACCACATGCCAGCCAGCCCCGCCCCCTGGTGGGCTGAGCTG